GAGGCAACGCGGGACTGGAGCCGCGCGGAGCCGCGCCAGCGGTAACAACTCCTGACAGCCCCAGCCGGATACCTCAGCGGAGCCCGGGCGGTGCGAGCCTCGTTTCCTTGGGAGCTGGGAGAAGGCTGGCTGCTCCTTTCGGCTTCACGGGATTCGTTTCCACGGTAGACAAAAGTGCCTCAAAAAAAAAAAAAGGGCAAAAGTGGAAGGCGTGCGGAAGAGGGAGCGAGTATATAACAAACTATATTTTGAGTGGAAATGTTGGGGGGTCGTCTTATACGCCGGGTCGTCTTATACGCCGGCATATACGGTAGTAATTATGTCAAAACTGATGCACTGGCATTAAATAAACAGAAACTGATTTTTTAAAAGACAAAAAACTATGGCATTCATACAACCTACATATACCAATTGCTTCCAAATAACTCTAAAATATCTGTGATTTACATAATCACTTCTGTGAGCTTCCTATATAACCGCCTCAAAAATGAAGAGACAGCCCATGACACTGAATCTGCTAGATTGTGGAGTTCCTTTTGTATTCCATTCTGTTTTAAGTTCCCTCCTCCTCTCCAAATTTCTACATGCTAGACTGCTTTAAGCATTATCTGAATGAGACTTGGAATCGCAAACCATGCATCACAGTTGAAAAGTAAGAAATACAGATATATGCTCTTCAGTCAAGCAAAACTTTTCTGTTGTCTCCAAATGCTGGAGAACATAGTGATTTGTCTGTAATTAGTAACAAATAAATATTTTGATTCTGACTTATTAAGCCAACGACAAGTCAAGATAACAAAAAATCATCATTCTTGAGAAAAGAAATATTTAAAATGTAAAGTTTTCTATTAAAATTCTAGGACAAAAATTGGAACTGTTATTCCCTAATTTTTGGTAACTATATCCTTGGTACAACATCAGTTAAACTAATAATGTTCTATATTTTGTTTATAAAACTACTAACTTTCAATAACTTAAAGGCTAGAGATGTGGGAAGTGGCTGCAAATGTCATTCCTTTTATTTTAAGCACTTGTTATTTTGGCATTTTTGTATCAGATTTAAATTTGGTTTTTAAAGAGGCCAACTATTAACTTATTCAATAACTTTGGCTCCCAAGGAAAGAGATATTTATTTTAGTATTTTACATTAAAGCACAGAATAATTCTAAGGGTATTTTGTCTATATTATCATGATTTTTCCGTGTCTGCAGCAAAAGTTTATTTAAATAATTTTCACTTTATAACCAGTGCAGCTTTGAAAAAAATATATAGAATATGATCATGGTACAAAATAACAGTAGAGGCATTGAGCATGCTTAGTAATCCTTCTCAATATATATTATTTCAAGTTTATTTCATAAGGGAAAAGTCAAATCAATTATAAATATGACCCCTGAAGTACAATGTTCCCTCCTTACTACAAAGGCTAAAGGTCAAAATGCTAAGCTACTGCTACGATGAACACTTCATGAAAAATGAAGACTCCTCATAGAATTCACCACCCATCCTGAAATCCTGCAATTCTGACAGCATGATCATGCCAAATGATTCTGTCGACATGTCAAGTCAGGCTAACTAGAGAATTGATCATTCTTTTTCCCTATGCAAGGATCGCTTTTTTCAGTGCAAAGAAAAACAAAAGTTTTTCAAATTTTTAGCATGTTACATGTTCAAAACAGTGACCTGATTCATCTATAATAGATTTAATACATATTTACATCCTATATAAATTTTACACTTTCTCCAATTAGGCACCAAGTTGATTTGTCAAACTGAATAACAAATGGAAGAAAAAAATGTTTGAAGGAGAAATTTGACATACAGTTGTGCTCATAAGTTTATATACTCTGGCAGAATTTATAATTTCTTGGCCATTTTTCAGAGAATATGATTGATAACACAAAATTTTTTCTTTCCCTCATGGTTAGCGGTTGGCTGAAGTCATTTATTATCAATCAACTGTGCTTACTCTTTATGATTTAAAAAGAGTAAACACAGTTGATTGATAATAAATGGCTTCAGCCAACCACCAACCAGGAGTGAAAGAAAAGTTTTTGTGTTATCATTCATATTCTCTGAAAAATGGCCAAGAAATCATAAATTCTGCCAGGGTAGGCAAACTTATGAGCACAACTGTATATTAAGCCATTTATCGTAAGCTAGTTTGCTTGGGAAGTTTTCCACCCATTAGGATTCCAGGGGTTAGAGTTGATGGACCTTTCATCTGCATGCTTGAACCAACCATAGTTGGGAAACTTCTATTCCTTCTAATGCCAGTGTTCAACTGAATGCCTCCAATAGCAGTTGTCACAACAGGGCAACCCAAAGGCAAACTCTCAGGCAGCAGGCCTCCAGACTTTTTTGATCCATAGAAAATAGGTCCTTGTTTATCAGTTAATTTAAGAGCTTGTGTTTCCCCTGAACTTATTACCTTGGCAATTCCAAATCTTTTTACTTTGTCCACTAAGTTAAGGTTAGAGACAGACACGTCAGTTTGACTTTCACTGTTTCTGATATTATTTTTGTCCCTTACTTCCTTCAGAATTGAATTAGCTGGTTTGGAAGCCAGGAAGTTGTCATAAGGAAGACTGGAACATTTGAACTCAAAAGATGGTGGGGAAGAAGAAGGTGTCTGCATAGGTGAGTTTGGAGGAGTGGAAGGAATGACAGTCATTCTTGGAGAATATGTGCTCAGAAGAGTGCTCCTACCAACTCTATCCCAACTTTGTGGTTTATACACTGCTGCTGATATCCCATGTTCCTTGAGTAGCCATACGAGTCCTAAGGATGTAGTCATTGTAGTTGTGGATTCCCGAACATTAGTGAAGGATTCTACCAAACTCAGGTGCCGAGGAGTACATGGGGTGGCCACCGGAGTGCCTTTCAAATTGCCGACATTGCTACAAGCTGGAGTAGGTGCTGCATTAAGGCTAAGGAAAAAGCAAAGTTTAAATTAATTCTTTGCAGATATTAATATTAATGAACAATATAGAAAACTTATTACTAAAGAAACCTCTTCAGTACTTGTATCCGACAAAAGCCCTATGACTACAGGCTTTTGAGACCATGTTTATCTCATATTTTTCAGCGATAACTTCTCAATATACATTTTTAGGCACACTTTGAATTAAATTCACTCTGTTATTAGGTTTTTTGAACTCCTTTTGACTAATAGGAAAAGATGAATATGATAAGCATATCCCAGTTACAGTAAATAATTAAGTCTAAATCACTTTCTGCTTCGCAATAATCAACTAATGAGGCACATGGAAGCACCACTTACCAGCTGAAATAAAAATAATGCTTGAAGAAAATCTTACAAAAGATAAAATCTATTGTATCAAAAAGGTCTACATCCATAGTAAGATCCTAAAAAGTATAATTTAATCTTTTATGCACAAATGTAATGTTGAGCACTACATTTTATCTCAGTGTGGGTGGTAACATACTGTATGAAGAATGGACATATTCCTCTGTGAATAATAACCATCCAACTTTTATCTTAATCAACTCAAGATATTCGAAATAACATTTTCAGTTCCTTCCCCTCACAACAGCAATCTGTGAGATGGAGATCAAGAGAAAGTGAGGTCACAGGTTAGCAATGTGTGCTAGGAGATTTAATATTTCTTTCTATAGTGTTCATTTATTTCATTAACTTAGTTAACACATAACTTTAAAAAAATATAAGGAAAGCCTGAATATAAAGATGAAAAAGGCTGAATTGTGCTTTGATATCTACAAATTTAAAAAAGAAGTATTTCAGTCCTAGAAGTTACAAGTGCTCAATTTTTTAATATATGTTATATAACTTTGAGAATGATTTTTCTCCACAAATATAATAAAAAGAATGTTCATGTTATGCTGATAGTCTAAACTTGTGCTTAATGGACATTTGACTCAAATCAAAACCCAATTTACTTCTCGTTTTTTTTTCAAAACAAATTCATGCAGTAAGTCAGAAAAATGCCAATCACAAATAAGTTTTATTAAATAATGCAAAACACACAATGCACACTTTAAATTGCATGCAGATTTGTTTTATTGTTCCAGTTGCAATAATTTGTTTTCCTTTCTCAAAACTCCTGCTTTATTTTTCTTTCAAGTATAGTATAATGAGATTTCTATCACCAGTACATTCCGATAACAGTGATGACAAGAGCAACACAATTCATGGAGATTCTCAGTAATCCAGGTTATGGTTATCCCAAAGGTGCTTTTTCAATGGCAACCAGATATTCTGTGTTGTTCTCTTGAAGATGTTTCGCTTCTCGTCCAAGAAGTTTCTTTCATTTTCACTATTCAATCAGAATTGAAGATCATTCTTGAATGAGAAGCGAAATGTTTTCAAGAGAAAAAACACAGAAAGTCCAATTGTCTTTTGAAAAAGTGTCTTTGGGATAAGAGTAACACAGCAATTCTTCTCTGTCACATAATGAAATATAAACCTTTCTAATATCTTGATGCTTATGAATCATGTAATCCGTCAGAATGAAAAAGAAGCCAAATTCTGTCTACCCAGTAAGTTCCAAATGTCGCCATATCACCCCCCCAAAATAAAATCCAATTAAATTTAATTTTTTTGATATTAGGTCCACTGATGAACATTTATCTTGGACAATAAAATAGTTGATAGATGGACCTAGAAACAAATAGATGATATAGACAGGCAGGCAAACAAGCAGACAGGCAGAGGCAATTTTCCTTGTACACAAAACATTTATGTTATCAACCTGTGGAAAACACATTACAAATAAAAAACTGCTGGAGATTGAATAAGAGTGGCAGATAATATAATTCACCATTTCTGTGGCCTGAACTGAGGCAGATACTCAAGATATAGATAAATTAACCCTTATGCAAATCAAATGGAGATTTCTATGTGAAAGTACTCCCAGTTTTTGTCAAATTACCAACAATATGTGGCTAATGTTTGACAGGATAAAATATTTTGTGCATAATCATTTTTTAAATCATTAAATGATTTGCTTCGATTCTAATAATTTCTGGCAGCAAGGGTCCTCCTAATTCATAACAAGTTATGTATAAAAACTGAGCTGCCATATTTAGGTGCAAAATTATCACCTTTACCAGCTGCCTTCATGAGAGAAGAAAAAAGGCATCTAAACATGGGGACATAGTATACCTATTAGCAGAATTCTTGGCTGTTAGCATTTATAATCTAGGAATCTAGATTATAAATTAATCTAACTCATCAAAAGAAAGTTTGACAGCTTTTATTGTAAAGCAGTTCTGGGTATTCCAATTAAAAATTAATTTTTAAATGATTACAAAATATACACAGGCAAATTGTAACACAGTCACAGATATGTACAGGTAACTGTTTTGCACTTTGGACTAAACCATATATTTATAATTTGGAGAAGAAAAGTTATTGATGTTAAACCCAACTATTATGGTTTAAACTTATACATGTATCAAATTATAATGGCTTATGCAGCATACAAATAGTTCTAGATTTACAACCATTCATTTAGTGACTGTTTGAAGTTACAATAGCACTAAAAAAGTGATTTATTACCATTTTTTCACATTTACAATCACTGCAGCATTCCCACAGTCATGTAATCACTATTTGGACATTTATCAAATAGAATTTATTTATAAATTGCAGTGTCTTGGGGGTTATGGATTACCTTTTGTGACCTTTTGACAAGCAAAGTCAATGGAGAAGCCAGATTCATTAAACAACCATGTTATTATCCCTTTAACAACTGTGGCAAGTTAATTACTTAACTGTGTCAGGAAAAATCATAAAATGGGGCAGAACTCACTTGTGGAAATTTGGATTCAATTTTGGTTGTAAGCCAAGGACTATCTGTAATATGGTATAAAACATCCTGCCTTAATATTCTACATGAGTATCACCAATTGTGTTATAGAATACACTATCCATCAAAATAAAAGTCATAGGTGGTAGTCTTATAAAAATGTTAGTCTTGGAATGGCAGTATTTATAGGAGACTGCCACTGTGACAATGATATCATGGGATGGTGTTGAGTTTCATGACTATGTTTTAGCTGTGTCTTTGTGGAGGTTCAATTAATCTGCAATCTGTAATGATGTATCTGAGGAAGTTTTCAAAACAAGGTGTGGATTATGGGAAGTGGCATTGGTGCTCATAAGCATAGTGAATTCAGTTTGGGAGTCACAGATTATGTAGAACTTGGATGACAAAAACAAAGCCACCACATATTCTCTGCCCCACTGCACGTTTCCCTCTGTTAATTCTTAGCAGATTATTCCAATTGTAGTTGTCAATACAATCAAGCCTCATGGCTGATATTTCTGAAAGGATACTTTATTCATTTGGTTCTCCTGTAAGAGCAGTTGTAAAGGTTTCACTGCACAACTGTGCAACATTTGGAGAAAAGTGAAAAAGGGAAGCAATTTTCTTTATACCAGTTACTCTCAAAGTAAAAAAGTGTGGTTGTTTTGTTATGTTGTCAAAAATCAGACTATGCCAAGTGATAATAAATGATATGAGCTGCAGTGGTTAGAATGCAGAACTGCAGGCTACTTCTGCTGCAGCCAGCTGCCTGCAATTTGGCAGATCGAATCACACCATGCTCAAAGTTGACTCAGCCTTCCATCCTTCCTAGGTGGGTAAAATAAGGACCCAAATTGTTGGGGGCAATATGCTGACTCTGTACACTGCTTAGAGAGGGCTGTAAAGCACTATTAAGTGGTATATAAGCCTAAGTGCTATTGCTATATGCCATTGTGAAATGTGATTAGATATGATGACAGTGGTTTCATAAATAAAATTAAAAGATATTTGATTGCATGGGTATATCTGAGAGCATGAATAGGTAATTATGCAGCTGTACATACTTGTTTGAATTTGTTGTTAGAAATACGTAACTGCCACCTAGTTTTCATCTTGTCTTTAGCTTTTACTGTTCCTGAAGCAGGCTTTTGTATACAAACTGACCCCTCACAACTACTAGCAAGTCCTGGTAAAAATAAAAAGCTTTTATTCTTTGTGACTGCACTCTGAATATGTGCATATTCAAAAGTCATAGGCCTGAGCAATTACTGAAATTACTGAGCCCAGACATAAAAAGACCTCAACTTGGGCGGACTAATTGTACAATGAATCTTTAGAATTAACAGAAGCTCCTGCTAAAAAACTTGCCATCATTGTATTCTTTGGGTAATAGTATATTTATAAATCAGCTAATAGGTTCTCATACCTAAAAAACAAAGAAAGAAAAGGCCCATGCTAATTAATTTTCAAGTTTATACTTGAAAGATCTCCTTAACTACAAAAGGCTAAAGTAGAGAAAATGCAGAAAAATCCTTATTTTTTGCTGTTTTTTTACTTAATTTGATGAAAAAGAATTTGCTTGCATATTATTTTCAAGGAGAAGTTAACTGTGGGAACATTTTCAAACAATGGATGTAGTGTTGTTTTATTTAGATACAGTATTAAAGTGCACAAAGAAAAATATGTAAATTATTTATTTCTCAAGCTTAATTACTGACTTTGATTAAAACCCAAGAAAACACCTAATGGGAGTGCGGGGCTGACATTGTGGCAATACGACATGCCTCAGGATGCTCCATGGGATTGTCGAAATCCAAGCTGCCGGGGTGTGTGTGTCTAAATTGCCTCAGAGGGGTGATGAAAAGTGAGAGCGCACTCCATGGATCTCAGGGAGCCCACAATCTACTTGACTGATTTGGAGAAGGTTCTCTAACCTGACAGCCGGGAAAGCAGCCATTGTGTGCTGCTCTGAAGCTGGGACAGCCACCAGAAGAGCAAGGAATGAAAGGACAGTGTGATCGTGCTGGGTGAGAGACTTTCAATTTAATAACATCAATTAAAGAAAGAGTCCCCTGGGAAGAAAAGAAGAAAGTGGGACCCAAAGGGAGAGGTGGAATTTTAATTTTTTTCCACCTGTA